TACAGTTCCACATGTTGTGGTGACTCCCAACAATACAATTTTTTTCGTCGCTGCTTCATAACTTCAATGAATACTTGTTTTGCGATGGTCTTTGTCGACCCCTGTGAAAGGGTCTTTCAACTCAAAAAAAAAAGGTCGTGACCCATAGGTTGAGAATAGCTGACCTAGAGGAAACTACACCAGAGGCGACCCAAGCACCCCATGTGTGGCTGTCGTCGTGTATTTGCGGGCCGCAACAGTCCCCTTTCTTACACAGCTCACTTTTCACCAGCCCTTCTAATGCATATCACAAAGAAGAGGGCCTGTGATAATGAACAGTCCAACTTAAACATCAGCGCGGATATAGGCGGTTTTTATTTTTAGATTCGACTAAATCAAATATTCAAGTTTACGGAATTGGACTTATCAGGACTTTTTATACAAAGACAAAGAAGGGAAATGGCCAGCAGGACCAAGCTAATCATGTCGACTCAAGACTTAAATTCGAGTTTGACCTAAGTGGACTCCAATGTACCAGGAAAAGAGCTGTGAGACAAATCTGCACAGAATGGAACAACTGAGAAACAACACACCTATTTACTATCACTACTAGAAATCCAAATACTTATCAAAGGGAAATACAAGGAATTGTGGAGAGAACAAACCAACAGTAAACATTGAGAAGACTTAACAGAAAACAACATACAACCATTTTTTTTTTTTAAGAACAGAACACGGTAGGCTCAACTACCTCATACATTAAAAAAAAAAGACTACAATCATGAAGTGTGCAAAAAGTTCTGGTTGTTTGTCCACTTCTGGACCGCAGAACCTGAGTGTTGCGTGTGCATCCTTTTTTACACATCTGACTGCTGGTTCCTTTGCCTCTCAGACAGATACACACTGACTACAAAAGAAGCTCCCAATTAGTCGACTCTCACCACATGCTTTTGGGTAAGCAGTGGGTCTCTTCTTGTTTTCCCTATAACAGGGCCTTGGAATCCACACGGGGAACCCTGAGCACATGAAACTGAACACTAAAAAGATCTTCTTGTTATTACTTCCGCTGTTACATTAATTCACTCAAAACCATTTGTTACAAAATTTTTCCCTGCCCCCATATTATTACTGGGTCAATTTCCTCTGACATATTGTTTCCTTCTTTAAACTACAACTTCTGAGGTAGTCAACAACAGTGCAGTGGCTAGTGTGCTTGCTTGCTAGATAAGTGGTCAAATTTTGAATCCTTATCAAGGCACATTTTTTTTTTTTAATTACCAGAACCTTCTAGGCCAATCCAGGCAAGAAATGTAATCAGGAAATGTTCTGAAATTAAAGATGGCCAATATAATTTTAATCAGATCACCTACTGAGTGCCAATTGTTCTTTACAAAAAGTTTTTATGTAACAACTTCTTGGAACTAAAAGAGAAATATTTCAGGCAATAATTCAGATGCTGCCAAATCAAAAAAAATGTTCTGGTTTGTAAAAAAAAAAGAATCACTTTAACTGCATATGGTTGGTTGAGGTTCTAACTTCACTACATGGGGTGCTCCGTAACTGCTCCATTCCTGTGCCAGTAGAAATCTCCCTAAATATCCCGCATGAAAGCTAGAGAAAAACTTGTCAGCCCCCAATCACATTTTTACGCTCACTCATGCAAAGTAAATTATTAAGGCAACCCTCAGATGTGCCAACACTAACAGTCTCACACCAGAATTACGGCTGACTGTTGAAGCAAGCAGTCCACTATACATAGATATAAAGTGCAGAGAATCTTTGCACACTGCACTAGTGTTGCACATGTTATATTCTCTTTTTCCCCTTGTGGTTTTCTTTTTAGTTTGAACATGTTAGGAGCAAAATGTTCTTTTCAGTTTCCAACTGGTGAGAGATGTGTAACATGTGCAATGTATACACTAATCCTGTGAGTTTGTTGTAATTTGAAATGGTTGACCTCTACCCTGGGATCAGTGGTGAGTATATCATTCGTGCCTGTGTGTGTGTGCATGCGTGCATGTGTAAAAAAAAAAATCAAAAAGGTCAACACAATGAAATGAACCTGAGGCTCCTTGAATCAAAGGCAGATCTCATACTTCTGATCTTAACAAGAAATTAGAGTCATGCAATTTTTAGTTATTATGAAGCCCCACCCTGGCTTTTGCCCGGCCTCAAATATGGCCTAATGGCTGAACAGGGTTTTCTGGGACCTCTCTATGGGTGATCCTCATCCACATGGTGGCAATTTGTGTCACCGGGTGTTTGTTGTCTGTGTGATGTCCTGGTGGGGTACAACTTACCTACTTCTGTTCTACTTACTTTTCCATATGCCTCTGGTGAAAGCAGGTTGTAGCCTCGCTGTTTCACATAGGCCGTGAACTGTTCTGAATGTTCCTCTGGGCTGCAGCAGTAGTCAGAAATCAGAACTTTGCCACCAGGACGTAAACAGTTCTGCGGTAAGAATGTTATTTTGGGGTTACTAGATATCATTTTATAGAAAATGTGTCTGTATTTTCTCTTTCAGTACCAAGTTTGTATTACTTGAACCAATTCTATAATAAATTGTTATTTATGTAATCAATAGCCGTGTTATAGGAATTAAATTAACTATAGGATGGCTAGACAGCATCATAGAATTGGGACAAAGTGAGTAAGTGTAGCAACAGGGTGGGTCAGATGGAATTCAGAAAAAGTATATCATGTAATCTGCGTTAGGTGTTGCGAACTAGCTTTGTAGTGCCAGGTTTGAACCCAGCTACGGACGGTTTGTCTTGCTTGTAATTAAAGTAGAGAGAATCAGTTAAACAATTAATTAAAGTAGAGAGAATCAGTTGAACAATTAATTAAAGTAGAGAGAATCGACTGAACAATTAATTAAAGTAGAGAGAATCAGTTTAACAATTAATTAAAGTAGAGAGAATCAGTTGAACAATTAATAAAAGTAGAGAGAATCATTCATTCTTCATTCATGTCTTCGCGTCGCTGCACCAGCTGTAAACTCTGGCGAGCAAGATTCCCTGCGTTGCTCCCATCTGGAGATACTGACATCCTGCACCCCATCTTCTGCTTGCCCAGATACCCCTCTGAGTGTTGCGTGTTTCATTTGTCTTTACTAGATCAGTATTCAGTTTTACAGATCTCCCATTCTCTTGTCTGTAATACACACTGTTATGGTGTCCTCTGCCAATGGGAAAGATATGCTCTCCGGCAGTATTCTATCTGTACAATTCCGTTGTTTTACTTTGAAGAGCAAATAGTCGAAGTTTCCATTGTTGTCAATTGTTGGTAACCAGTGACCCAGTCGAAATTTTCCACCACTCTTTCCTCACGATATTTCATGCTTTTGGGTATGCATTAGGCTATGTGGTTATGATTTTCTATTCTTTTTGAGTTTAATAAGTTTTCCCCACATTTTGTGATGGCCCCGGAACATCACATAACACGGGGGGAACAATTAATTAAAGTAGAGAGAATCAGTTTGAAAACAATGTCTCTCCATCTATTCTGATTGTGATAGAGTAATGAGACTAATCAGATGCAAAGCCCATAATTAATTTCCCAAAGTTCTGAGTGACACAGTACCACAAAACATAAGTTATTAAATTCCTACACTTCTCTATTATTAAACGCAAGATAGCCTGAACTTACATCTCTTCTCAATAATTTTTAGTAGAATTTTACTAGAGAATCAGTTGAACAGTAGAGTACTAAGTTATTTAGCAAGATATGAGCTCTAAGCTACTTGACTAGGCACCATGTTGATGATGACAAAAGGATAAAATAATAGACAATCATACAGAAATAGAATGTGCTTGCAACATTCAACTTGTATGCTAAGGATTAGTTAGTTGCGTATCCTTTACAGGATGTTGCAGAACCAGTCCCAGCCTTTTTTTGTTGTTGGCTGTTGTGGTTTTCTAGGAAAATTTAATGTTAAGTAGTTTGCCACTGCTTCCTGAATGGTCAGCTCTCGGTACCACTGTCGAAACCAACGCAAGACAAACCATCCGCAGCTGGGATCAAAACCACCACCCCAGCATTACAACGAGCATTTGCATCGCCTAAGCCACAGACCCCGACACTGGTTTAAAAAAGGACAGAAATTTCTGTATTTCATCTAAATCTTATTTGAAAAGAATGCCCTGGCACCACTTTCACAGAGAACCATGTTGAAGTAATATAATGTACACAAAGCAAGACAAAAATGACGCAAAAGATAAAACAATGGCACCAAGAACAACATGGGGTTGGCTGTGGCCGAGCGGCTAGACGCTCGCCGCGGATCGGAAGGTCGTGGGTTGCTCCCTGGCGGAGCCGGACTATTTTCAAAAATGACCTTGGCTCCGAGGTTGACCCAGCCTTGAGTGGGTACCGGGTACAGTCCTGGGAAGTAAAGGCGACCGGCATGATGCTGACCACATCACCCATCTTGTGCCGATTAGTCTATAAAAATACAGGTCTAGCCCTACACGCCTAAAGGCGTGGAAAATGGTCCTTTACTTTTCCTTTTTTTTTTACCAAGAACAACTTTGGCGAAATGGAGGACCAACACTTATACAATACATTATAAAGAGCAAACATATGATCCTTACATCCCTACCATCACTTCACTGAGATAACTAAAGAAAGAGATGCATATAAAGAAAAAAATCTTCAGCTTAAATCAACTAAGAAAAATGTTTGTAAGCTGAACAACTGTATAGTTTACAAGCACAGGTGGGAGCAGCTGAGGTCAAATATTGCAAATGTATGTTCGATTACTGTGTAGGTATTGGGGGGGGGGGGGGGGGTGCGCGCACATGCGTGTGTGCGGACGGTAGAGTAATAAATAAGGAGATACAGAGGAAATAGAAGGAGAGATACAGGCAACAGAGAGAAAGAGAGAGATGGAGAGAGAAAGAGGGTGAGAGAGTAAGAGACACAGAGAGAGAGACACAGAGAGAGAAAATACATACAAAAAATTTCTTGAACAGCGACAATTTATCCTGAATATGAAGAATTGTGTCTCGGCTGTAAACTACATCGAAAAGATGCTGGTGGGTAGTCTCTCTTTGTGGCGTCAGTTCTCTCAAACACAACCTGATCTGGACCACATCCCACCTCCTGGGCCCTCTCCATACCAATCTGAATCATGTTGGATGACAGATCCACAATGGTCACCTTTGCACCAAAAGTCTGAAATATGATAGGATCAAGTAATTAGAATCATCTTGATCAGGTCTGTTTTCTTGATCTAGTCTATTAGGTTGCAATGGAAAAAAATTATGCCTTTAAAAAAGGTGTTGGTATTATGTACTGTAGAAAAAAAAAAGCCCGGTCTTGAAAAAGTATACCAGCATCCGAGCCCTTGAGGGTCCCTGCTGCAAATTTCACCTATCTCTATTTATTCTGTGATTGGCTTTCTCTTTCCAGTTGGTGACTGAGTGGTTGTAGGTCTACATGAATATTATCTCTCCATCATCTTCTTGATCTGCCTTGTGGTCTACCTACATCCAATATATATATATATATATATATATATATATATATATATATATATATATATATATATATATATATATATATATATATATATAGAGAGAGAGAGAGAGAGAGAGAGAGAGAGAGAGAGAGTGTGTGTGTGTGCGTGTGTGCGTGTGCGTGCGTGCATGTGTGCATGAGTACGTGCGTGTGTGTGTTTGTGTGGATATAATAAACAGTAAAACCTTATTAACACAAGCTCACTTAAGAAGAACATCAGGTTAACATGATCACAATTTTAGTCCTAGCGCGTAAAGTACTGTTGTTGTTAGTCTCTGGCTAGCACAAATTATTGTTAACACTAACTTGATTTTTTAAAAATTTAACTTTAATGAGGTTTTACTGTAATAGAAACAAAATAGAACAGTTAAATATTCTAAAAACACAGTAAGTTGAAATTAGGAATGTTTACAATAATATTTTAAAACACTTATAATCACAGATCGATTAATCAACCAGTTTTTCCTTTCTGGGTTGCTAACTAAAGGTTGGGTTGAGCTGAGTTGATTCAAGACCAAAATCACAGCACTCAGGGCACTCCTATAAGTGCTTCATCCTCATCTTCACCAGCCAACACAAAGTTACAATACCAATGGTGTCATTAAAAGTCTTATTATTTGCCCGTCTTGCCTTTCCTCGGAGCATCGAGTATTGGTTCGATCCCCTCGTCATGCCTCACTGCACCACTCTCACCAGACTGTGAAGATCAACACACCGGCATATTCCGGATAAAGATCCAGACAATACTCTTCCCCCATGACCCCCCCAAGGCAAAGCATGCTAACTAAAGATTTGCCATAGCATCCTTAAATTTTTTAAAAATTTCAATTTGGATGGCAGACCATCAAGGCAGATTCCAGTTAAATCATCTAAGGAGGTTATAATTATGGCACCAGTAACAGCTGCACCACCCAGGTGTAACATACAGTCCTGTGCGAGTAAGAGCCATAATCATATAAATTTAATACTTGTGGTATTCATAATGTGATTCATAATGTGGTTTGAGTTACTTGTAAGAGATGTGGCAGCAGACAGCTTTATGTGTTCACTCTGACAGTATGATAATTGCACCATTTAGAAAGCAATGGAGAACTACTGAACATAAAACTACCTAGAAACAAAATACACAACAGCCAATAAATGTTCGGGTTGGTCTGAGAAAATCTGTAAAGGATATGACAACAAATCTAATCACAGAGAAGTATTTTTAATTAAAATACCTTATCCTCTTCTCCTTTTCATTCTCCCTGCTAGTGATTTTGAGATGAGAAGGCTACAGGCCTCTGTGAAGTCTGCAACATATGTCTACCATTGTTCCATACAACTTGGGTTCTATGGAATGCCAGATGGCCTAATCTGGGATCGCTGTACTGCACACAGAGAGCATGTCTGTAGCACATGTTCAATATTTCTCTGGTGCCTGCCCACACGGGCACCGTTCTGAATCTCCCCCAACTTGAATTTCTTGTGCATGTGGCTGCAGAATCGGTTGTGTCTGGTACATATGATTCTTTCAGGATGTAACTAGCAGGTCAGTAAAAAGTATAAAGGGCTCCCCTTTCAAGCCGTAAAGTGTTTTGGGTAAATGGTTCCATCCTCTTGTTTCTTCTGATCAACATTTGATGCATAATGTGGTCAAAATCCCACCATCAGTCCCTGACTTCCTAAAAAATTCATTGGTACATATTTCTTCTTCTTCTCCTTCTGTTAGTTCACCCTAGTAAGTAGTGGCTCACCTCATTGCTCCGGAAATGTCCATATGCTGTGCCTTTTGTTCTAAACCCCAACATCCGATTTCTAACAGTACCAGTCTATGTTGATTAGCAAGTCTTTTAAGAGATGTTTGGTGCCCGTCTCTCTTTTTTGCTGTGCCGATCTAAATTCCCAATTGCCATTCGGCAGAGTGACCGTGGACTGACACCAAAGTCCTCTATCCTTGTTTCTGGGAGGGTTCAATCCATGATCCATAGGGGTCGGTAGTGATAGGAATCCAGCCAACCTGTCATTTTCTCCATCGACGCCTGCGTGTCCCGGAACAAAAATAAAGGTTACAATGGAAATCAAGTCCGCAAGGTGAACCTGCTTGATCCATCTTCTCCTTCTGTGCTCAGCCTAAGGGGCTCAACTACAAAGTGATATCTGTGCCTTTTGTTCTAAGACATCCAATTTCAACAACTCTTTAATTAGCTGCCTTTTAAGAGATGTTTGTTAAGAAGCTGAGGGTTTCCCCCTACTCCCCCCCCCCCACCCCACTTTACACACACACATATAAAACTGGGTCCTGGAATCCATAAAAGGGATGGTATCTTTTAAAGGCTTAAGTCAACCTGGAAAAAAAAATATCAAAACTATTCTTGCTGGAAGGAAATGCAAACATTTGATGCCTGGACTGTAGGTTAAAGTACTATCCACTGCAGTTCCCTATGACAAAAGTATCTGTAGCTTTTAAAAAAAATAAACAGGCCCAAAAAAGTGTTTTAAACAAGCCAAATCATAAAAGTATCTTTCTCCATGTGGGTTCTGGGGCGCAAGTTTGAGGTCAAATAAAAAATAGGCCCACTGACTCTTAACAAACATGTCACAGAAGGCAACTAAATTAAGGGTTTGCTGAAGTCGTATGTGTTGGTCTGAAATCAACAGGTATGACAGCCTAGCTGTAAACCATGACATAACATTCACTTGTCCTTTTAAAGAACCAATCAACAAGAAGAAGAAGATAAAGTACCTACTGCTAAATAACATATCTAAAAATCAACAAGAACCACAAAACAAACAAAAACATTTTAAATACAATAGAATCAAACTGACCTTGGCCATGTAGAAAGCACTGCCCCCAATGCCACCACCAACATCCAAGACTCTTTGACCTTCCTTTAAATCAAGCATCTCAACAAAGTCCTACAATTGGTCCCATTGAAAACAAGAAAGACATTTTCATGATACAAGGCTGATGGAATGGAGACGTAATTTATTTCAAAAATATTATAATTGTTGTTGTGACCATAGAAAATGTATCTTTTTCTAATTCTTCTGCACTTCTTTGATCACTTCAGGTGTTGAGGAAGATAGAGCGTTCTGTTTCTTGCTTTACTGGCCAGCTCAACCACAGACACAGCATTCTGTTGTCAAACATTTCTCTAATGTTATCTTTTCATCTTGTTCTTGGTCTAACTCATAACTCTGTCCTTTTTTTGTTGTTGCTGTGTGCCTTGTATGGTATGCTGTCACGCGGTATTCACTCTAAGTGAGCAAACCATTTCATTTGCATTCTTTGTATGCAAATAATTATTTATCAGATGTGGAATTTTACAACACCTGTGCACCATAGTTGACATTTAATGAAAAGGCTTGGGGTTAAATACTAAAACAGAAAACCTATCACTGCGACATGTGTGCACTGCTCAGTGAACTCATTATGCCAAAATCATTCTTCGCTTGTGGGATGAGCTTGGTTATCACTTAGATATTTGCTGAGCAGCAGACGGCAGCCATATTGACTTCTATAAGCTCTATTGTAAGTTTGTAAACCTCCCTCTCTTGTATGTATATTATTAATATGTAATGTATATTCAAGGAAATATACATGAATAAAAGTATCCATCTTTTTGAATAACCCTCTATATTAAAGTTACAAATTAAAGTCCAGAGGAGTCACTGGTTATCCCATGCTGCTCTGGCCTCTCTCAGCAGAACACTGGCTACATGCCAAAAATGTTGCACAAAGTATGAACTCCACAGCGCCAGTGATGATCCCCATGGATCTAGATAACAGCTGTACTTGTGAACCAAAAGATGAGTCTGTGGAATGAATTGATGACCTTTATAGCATGAGGTTAGATCACTGCACCTTAAAGATCCCCTGCTTAATATACGCGGCTATCGGGAATGAATGCCGGGATTTTAAACTAATGTTATAAAAGAAGTAATTAATGGATATACACATGTGGCATCTAAAAATGTTCAGAAAAGCTTGAAGTTTCACGCGGCTTTGTGTGACCATGAGGTTTAAAATGGTGCTGAGAAGGTAAGGAAAATACAGCATCATAAAGAGAGGGTCGTAGCAGTAGAGATCACAAGTGCTGCAAATGGTACACATATTGAAGTGTACTAAGGCTGTGAATCCTAGACAATTAATAAACAAGCCGTTTAATTTCTTGAGGTCTCAAAGATGTGGTTTTACAGAAGAATCCTTAGAATTCCTTGGACAGCTAAAAAGAACAGAACAGAGATTCTGAAAGAGTTGAGGGCTCGAAGGCAACTTATCACAAACATCAGAAAGAGACAGTGATCATTTTTTGGTCATGTCATCAAAAGAGGGCAGCCGGAACATATTGTGACCACTGGAAAGATTTGTAGAAAGAGAGACAGTTAAAAAGAAGGTGAGAAGGTTCTTGACAGATTTTGTCATGGGATGGAGAGGTGTCAACACATGAACTGATACACACAGATGAGGATCGCAGAATGTGGAGAGGCATGATCGCCCACACTAGTCTGCAAGGCACATGATGATGATAAAGGCAAGTTGAAAACGTTTCTGAACATTTTTAAGATGCCATACTTATATATCCGTTAAATACTTCCCAGCAATCATTCTCGATAACCCTGTTCATTGACTAATTACTGTAACCACTGTATACATTTCTAAACCTCTGACCAATTCATTCATTATATTACCTTATTTGGTAACAACTGTTACACTTTTTTCATCACATATCTGTATTATTTCAAGTCCTTAAGGCTCAGAGATTAGTACTCTAATGACTTTCAGAAAGTGGTACAAGAGTCTGCCAAATTAGGGATATGAAAGGGATAGGGTCTCACTATATAATGTCTCCAAGGACAGCAGTGAATGTACTGTGGAGGCGGCACCAAATAAAAAGTTAAAAAAGAATTTTCACCACAAAAAATCTCTCACCTGAGTTGTTTTCCAGGCAACCAAATCACCTGATTGTTGTTGTTCTCAATTTACAGATCTGACATATTTGTGTGCAGATTGTTTGTTCCTTGCCCCTCAGGCAGATGCACTCTGACTTTGAAGGAAGCCCCCAGTTAGTCGACTCTTACAACATGCTTGTTGTGGAGGCAGTAGTTCTATTCTTGTTTTCCACACAATGGGGCCTCGGAACCCACATGGGGACAACTGCTCTTTTGATAGTGAATGCTGAAGGAGAAGAATGTTTCTAGATATCACCTGGATTGTTGTCAGCCTTATTTTCAACACTATCTTGCTGCTGACAAGCTGACACAAGATTAGAAATGTGTGGATAATGTTATTACCTTAATGTATGTATCCACTGACTTGGAAAACACAAGATCATAGCCATAAAAATTCTCCTCATCACAAGGAAGAGCAATGGAAGAGTAAAACGCCTCATACAACTCTGGGTCTCTGTACTGGGTTGGGTTGGCACCTCTGTTTTTATCGCCTGAAATAAGCCAGATAAATCACACATAAACATCACATAAACATCACACAAAAACCACATAAACATCACATAAACATCACTTTGATGACATAAAAGTAGATACACTTTGTTAGCTCTAGTGGCATAAAGGCAGACAACAACAACAAAAACACATAGAGAATGGAACTAGAGAACTAGAGCAAGCATGATGAAACAGGGTCTCCTGAGGGAAATATGGGTCACATATGTTCTTCTTCTTCTTCGCGTTCACCAGCTGTAAACTCTGGCGGAAAGTTCTGGTTGCTCGTCCACTACTGAACTGCAGTCCTGCTCCAGAACCTCAGTGTTGCGTGTGCATCAGTTTTACAGATCTCATTCTCTTGAATACAGACTGTTGGTTCCTTGCCTCTCCGGCAGATGCACTCCGACTTCAAAGGAAGCTCCCCAATTAGTCGACTCTTACGACATGCTTTTGGGGAGGCAGTGGGTCTATTCTTGTTTTCCCCACAATGGGGCCCCGGAACCCACATGGGGGACATGTGTTCTGTCACGAGGACCACACCACGACAAAAAAAAACTGAAGTCATTTAATAACAATTGTTGCAGAACACAATTTGACTGAGGGTTGCAGGTGTGCTTGCAAATATGCTTGAACTAGAGAGTGAAGTTAAAGATGGGAAGGAACTGGGGTAAGCTGATTGCTATAGCAAAGGAAGGACGAACTGATGTGTGTTGGTGAGGGCCTATGTGTGAGTTGGTGAAAGCCTATATGTGTGTTGGTGAGGGCCTATACGTGTGTTGGTGAGGGCTTATATGTGTGTTGGTGAGGGCCTATACGTGTGTTGGTGAGGGCTTATATGTGTGTTGGTGAGGGCCTATGTGAGTTGGTGAAGGCTTATGTGTGTGTTGGTGAGGGCCTATATGTGAGTAGGTAAGGGCCTATATGTGAGTTGGTGAGGGCATATTTGTATGCCGGTGAGGGCCTATATGTGTGTTGGTGAGGGCCTATATGTGTGTTGGTGAGGGACCAAATGTGTGTTGGTGAGGGCCTATACATGTGTTGGTGAGGGTCTATATGTGTGCCGGTGAGGGCCTATATGTGTGTTGGTGAGGGCCTATATGTGTGTTGGTGAGGGCCTATATGTATGTTGGTGAGGGCCTATTTGTATGTTGGTGAGGGCCTATATGTTCGTTGGTGAGGGCCTATTTGTATGTTGGTGAGGGCCTATTTGTATGCCAGTTAGGGCCTATTTGTATGCCAGTGAGGGCCTATATGTGTGTTGGTGGGGGCCTATTTGTATGTTGGTGAGGGCCTATTTGTATGTTGGTGAGGGCCTATATGTATGTTGGTGAGGGCCTATTTGTATGTTGGTGAGGGCCTATTTGTATGTTAGTGCGGGCCTATTTGTATGTTGGTGAGGGCCTATTTGTATACCAGTGAGGGCCTATTTGTATGCCAGTGCGGGCCTATATGTATGTTGGTGGGGGCCTATTTGTATGTTGGTGAGGGCCTATATGTATGTTGGTGAGGGCCTATATGTGTGCCAGTGAGGGTCTATATGTATGTTGGTGGGGGCCTATATGTATGTTGGTGAGGGCCTATATGTGTGCCAGTGAGGGCCTATATGTGTGTTGGTGAGGGCCTATTTGTATGCCAGTGAAGGCCTATATGTGTGCCAGTGAGGGCCTATTTGTATGCCAGTGAAGGCCTATATGTGTGCCAGTGAGGGCCTATATGTGTGTTGGTGAGGGCCTATTTGTATGCCAGTAAGGGCCTATAAGTATGTTGGTGAGGGCCTATATGTATGTTGGTGAGGGCCTATTTGTATGCCAGTGAGGGCCTATATGTGTGCCAGTGAGGGCCTATATGTATGTTGGTGGGGGCCTATATGTGTGTTGGTGAGGGCCTATTTGTATGCCAGTGAGGGCCTAAATGTATGTTAGTGCGGGCCTATATGTGTGTTTATGAGGGCCTATATGTGTGCCTGTAAGGTCCTATATGTATGTTGGTTAGGGCCTATATGGATGTTGGTGAGGGCATATATGTGTGTCCATGAGGGACTATATGTGTGTTGGTAGGGGCCTATATGTGTGTCGGTGAGGGCCTAAATTGTGTCGGTGAGGGCCTATATATGTGTGTTGGTGAGGGCCTATACTTCATTGGGACATAAATGGCAGAAGGAGGAGGTAAACATGCAGTTTGTTTATAAAATTGTGTCTCTCTTTTTCTGTCTGTATGCCAACTCTCTTCCTCTAACAAAGATAGGTAAACATAAAGTTTGCGTCAGTATTACAAAATCAATTGCTTCTTCTTTCCAGTGTGGGTTCCAGGCCCCATTATGGGAGAAAACAAGAATAGACTCACTACCTCCCAAAAGCATGTCATTGGAGTTGACTAAGTGGGAGCTTCTTTCAAAGTCGAGGTACATTTGCCTGAGAGGCAAGGAACCAACAGTCTGCATGCAAATAAGTCAGACTTGAGAAGCAAATGTGCACGCAAGACTCAGTTTCTGGAACAGGACTAGAGTCCAGAAGTGGACAAACAACCAGAACTTTCTGCCAGAGTTGCTTCTTCTTCTTCCTCACATTCGCCAGCTGTAAACTCCAGTGGAAAGTTCTGGATCTTTATCAACTTTTAGACCTTAGTCTTGTTCCAGAACTTGAGTTTTGCATGCACATCTGTTTTACAGATCTGGCTTACTATGTGCAGACTGTTTGTTCCTCGCTTCTCAGTCAGACGCACTCTGACTTCAAATAAAGCACGCTTAATTAGTCACCTTTTACATGCTTTTTTGGGGTGGGGGAGGAGGGGGAAAAGTTGGTCGTGACCCTTTTTTTTAGTCCAATGACACTTTTACATGGGTCACCAAAGACCATCGCAAAACATATATTCAATGAAGTTATAAATTAGCGACGACAATAATTGTATAGTTGGGGGTCGCCACAAAATGAGGAACTGTATTAAGGGGTCACAGCATTAGGAAGTTTCAGAACCACTGTTCAAGACGATAAGTCACTGCAACAGTGCCGGTTAGCATTTATGAGGATTGGTAACAGATGCATTTGCTGGGTTTGTGACTCCTCAGGGTCAAAGGGTTAAGTTAACTATCACATCAAATTTAGCACATACTATAAATAAACCCAGCACCATCCAAATCCCAGTTAACATTAATTTTTGCAATTTACCTGAAATTACACACGCCCACACACAAAAATGAATTCTCATAATCTGACCTGACTGATGTTTGCAGGACTCTCGCATGAAAATGTGGCCTCCAGGTTTCAGCCATGAGAGTTGTTTTTTCATCAGCTCTTGAGCTTCCATGTCTTCCAGGTACATAAACAGCCAGTTGGAGAAGATCAGATCCACACTGGACAATGAAAAATAGTTTGTAGTATAATGACACTTGACAAGAGGAAGACAGCATAAAAAGTTTCTTGACAGCCTTTCGTTATGGCAAGGAAGGGTGTCAGCATATGAACAGATACATGCATCTGCGGATCATGGATTGTGGAGAGGCATGATCGCCCACGCCAGTCGGTAAGACACTCGAAGATGATGATGATGATGATAAAAATTATACTTATTAATTAATATAATGAAATAGGAAGCTTACTATGAGAGAATGAAAATATCTGTACTGATAAAAAATATTAGTGACACAACGGAAAACCTATATGGGTAAAGAACATATGAGAGGGAAGGAAATATTTGCATAGGCAGAAAATATCAAGTGAGAGAATGGAAATAATGTATGTGCAGTAAATATAAAGTGAAATATTTGAAATGTCTATAAAGATGGAGGCAATAAAATGACAATAAAAATATCTACGTATAATTAGATGAGCAACTCTATTTTCCTTGTGGGTTCCAGGGTCCCAAATAAGAAGTGGGGGGGGGGGGGGGGGGGGGGGGGGGGGGGAGCGTTGGGGCACTGTTCCCATAACAGACATGTCATAATAATTGATTAATGGGGTGTTTCTTTCAAAGTCAAGGTGCTTTTACCTGACAGGTGGGGAACTAACTGTTGTTCTTCTATCACAGGTGATGAGACCACTCTTTTCTTTCATCCGTCATGAAATCATAGTTTAGTTCTGTGAGTCCGGAGGTGACTTATAAGCCCAATAAGCGTCCAGAAGGTTCTAGGGCAGGGAACAGTGTCTGTAGGTAAAGGGCCTGTTATACATGTCTTTCTGGCTTGCCTGCGGTGTTCAGCTGCCCTTTATCTTGAAACCTCTCATGTCACTGCCCCTCTTCGGACAGACAGTTACCATGTAGTCTGGCCTTGTGCAGCAGCCTCCCTATTGTCAGGGTCTATATTAAAGGCTTTAAGTGATGCCTTAAGTGTGTCTTTGAAGCGTTTTTTCTGGCCAAGATGAGAGTGTCTACCTTCATGTATATCACCATACAAGATTACTTTGGGGAGCCAATGGTCTAGCAAGCAGACGACATGACCTGCCCTTCAAATCTTTGACTGCATCAGGATGGTATGGATGCTGGAAAGGCCAGCTTTATCCATTATAACAGTATCCGTGACCCTGTCCTGCCACTTGATTTTCAGTTTTTTTCTTAACCAAACTGTATGGAATACAGTCAAGAAGTGGACAACCAGAACTTTCCACTGGAATTTACAGCTAGTGAACAAAAAGCAGAAAACATGGAGTGAGTGGATGGTAATAGAAACAAAGAGAGTACACATAAACTGACAGAGTGGAAATATTTAAAAAATCAGGAAACAAAGTAACAGAATGGAATATCTATATTAGGTGAAAAATATAAAGTGACAAATACTTATTAAAGCAGACATCAGATGGAGAAATATAAATATATGTAAGTGAAGGGAGAGAATGGAAATATCTATCAGAGCAGAGAATATAAAGCTGGACAATGGAAATATCTATAGGAACAGAGAATATATGCAAACAGTGGAAATTATAAAAGTAGAGAACAAGAACTAGATGAATGTAAATGTCTAAAAATGCGTAGAACATTAAGTGACAATGGGAATATATATAAGAGCAGAGAAAATAAAGCTGAAGAGAGAAATGTCCATAAGGTCATAGCAAATAAAGTGAGAGAGAGGAAATATCTACAAGGCAGAGAGCACAGTCGAAGATTGGAAATATCTATAAGGGCAAGAACTTGAAGTGACACAAGGGAAACATTTATAAAGGCAAAGAACATAAAGTGAGAGAATGGAAACATCTATAAGGGCAGAGAATATAAAGTGACACAACAGAAATGTAATTATAAGGGCAGAGAGTATAAAGTGACACAATAGAAATATGAATAAGGGCAGAGAATATAAAGTGACACAATAGAAATGTAATTATAAGGGCAGAGAATATAAAGTGACACAATAGAAATATGAATAAGGGCAGAGAGTATAAAGTGACACAATAGAAATATGAATAAGGGCAGAGAATATAAAGTGACACAATAGAAATATGAATAAGGGCAGAGAGTATACAGTGACACAATAGAAATATGAATAAGGGCAGAGAGTATACAGTGACACAACAGAAATGTAATTATAAGATCAGATAGTATAAAGTGACACAATAGAAATATGAATAACAGCAGAGAATATAGAGAGTATAAAGAAACATGTATAAAGGTAGAGAAAATAAACTGCAGGACAATGCCGGCAAGACAATGCAAAATCCATTACGCAAATTATATTCATTCTCAAAAATACAATTTAAAAAATACCCACCTTTCTTCTGGTATCTCCAGTTTAGTGACATCAGTAACAATATAATCAATGTTACTATAGCAACTGTTGGTTGTTTTATTTATCTCAATGAAATCTTCCATGAAGTCAACTGCAAGAACCTTTTCTGCAGTCTTGGCCAGTTCAGCAGTGAATCGACTAAAATACAAAAATCAAAGCATCAGAAGATAACCACAGTAATAGAAAAAAAAAAAGCATAACAATATAATCTGCATATGCAAATACTCAGTGAATCAGATGCAGTCTCAGCAGTAAAGATTACCTACAATGAATCTCCAATATACTCTGTCTCTCACCCAAGTCTCCTACTCTTTGCTGCTCATCGATTTCTTTATGTCCTAATGCCATTGAAATCACAGTCTTATCTCTTGCTTGCTTGCCTGAAACTTTTCCTTCAAATCACTAGAATGCTTTAACAACTTGCCACTAATGCTGATAAACTAACACAGCATCCACTTCCGAAACTAAGATATACTTACACCCAGCTTTAGCACTGTAAAAATAAGATTTATTCACGGCAGCATGTTTGTAAAACTGGGTTTCAGTGTTGCAGTGGATGGTTTTTAATTTTTTTTTCTTTTAAACATTCACCCAGTGGTGGCATTCACCCAGTGGTGGCATTCACCCAGTGGTGGCATTTACCCAGTGGTGGCATTCACCCAGTGGTGGCATTCACCCAGTGGTGGCATTCACCCAGAGGTGGCATTCCCCCAGTGGTGGCATTCACCCAGTGGTGGCATTCACCCAGTGGTGTGAGAGTTGCAGAAAAGACGAGAATGGGATTTATCACGTAATATTCCCAAAGTCATCAGCCATGGGAGCACTGTATTCAGCCTTCATTGTGCAGATGGCACAAAATTGTTTATAAATATCGTGTGACCCCTCGTGACTGATGTAATTTTTCTTCGTCCAAACTTACAACTTAGAGGTGAAGTGCAGGGCATCTAAGCTTGCATTCTACAGCCACATTTATTTTGTTAGTTACAAAGTATCCTTGTTCATTTAGAGTAATTTTCATGATGTCCACCCATCATCTTTTGTTTCTTTGTTCTCCCCGAATGGGTTCTGGGGTCCAATTTAGGGGTAGGTTAAAGTAACGTTAATCTCCCCAAATAGAGTAGGTCACTTTTCATTCACAAGTTTGTTGGGCTGGTCGACTTTCCTGAAGGTTACTGGTGTGTCCCACTCTGTTGTTTGCTTTCTGCGTTGTCTTGAATTTATGTTTTAATTCCTTAAAAGAGAATGCCTGTGACATAGGTTGCAGCACTCTCTAGGGGGGTTGTGTTAACGCCATGTTTTTGGAATGTTAAAAGCGCTGGCGTGCTGATATATACAATAGGTGATATCAATGACATTGCGGAACACACCTGTAACCTTGTGCCAAGGTGACAGGTTCAGGAACTACCAATCAGAAGTGAGCAGGGCGTGGGGAGACTAACGCTATGTGTACCCTGGGGAAAAATGAACAGACCCACAGCCAGCCCCCCCCCCCCCATTAACATGCATGCTGCTAAAAGTCAACCAACTAAGGGTGTTTCCTTCTAAGTCGAAGTGAATTTGCCTGAGTGGCAAGGAACCAACAGTTTGGATCAAGGCTTAAATCCAGAACTTTCTGCCAGAGTTACAGCTGGTGACCGTGAACAAGAAGAATTTTCCTGTGTTCATATTAGTAGATGATTAGGCTTCATGTCCAAACTTCTCTTCAGATGGGCTGACCTTCGAATTAACAATACAAATCTTCACCTTGATCAGCATACAAACAGATGACCCCAGGTCTGGCAGGCAAACATACTACCCACTGTTCTACTGAGGCTTCTGCACACCAATACACACATCCCAATAAATTTAATATATTCATAACATTCAAAATATGAAAGATGAGAAGAAAGACATTGGAAAACATCGTGACAAATGGAAAGGTTAGTGAAAAAGGGGGTAGAGGCAGACCAAGAGAGATAGACTGAAACGATGGCATGTAAATATATCATCAAGAGAGCTGTTCCAGGCAACGAGAGAACGTGATCTGTGGAGATGCGTGAGCGCCTACGCCAGTTGGCAGGGCACATGATGATGATGATAACATTCAAGTTCAAGAAGCACACTGACATAAAATTAAGAGTTAATAAAACCAACAAGTCAGAACTCTCATGAACAAGATAAATGCTTGAAAAACTGCTTGAATCCACATTTAACAAACAAGGGTAAAGGGCACTCCATGAGAAGAAACGGGCAGAGAATCATCAAACAGGCAATTTTCCCCATATGGATTCGAGGGTCAATCATTGTGGGAGAGGAGAAAAACAGGAATAGACTCTATTGTCCCCTGACAAGCATGTTGCAGTAGGTGACTAATTAGGGGTATTTCCTTAAAGTTGGACTGCATCTGCCTGAGAGGCCAGGAACGTCTGTATACAAATACGCCAGATCCACAAAATTGATGCACAGGCAACACTCAAGTTCTGGAACAAGACCAAAGAATTGACACGCAACCAGAACTGTCCACCAAAGTTAACAGCCAGTGAACGCTAAGGAGAAGGAGAGAAAGATGAAGAAGCAGAAGGAGGAGGAGGAAAAAAATGGACTGAAGAATTAGGACATTTAAGAGAAATCCTAACAGAAACACAGAGGAAGGCCAAAGGTGCTGGACTAGACCATCTATGGGAAGGGGGTCTCCGTGGTGAAGTAGTCAAACCATTTGCTTCGTGCTCTTAAGGTCATGTGTTTGATTCACGGCAGCGCCATTCAGTTTACAAGTGCAATTTTTATGGAGATCCCTGAGGATTCTCACCGAAGCTGCAGAGATGATGCTCTGTGTGACGCTTTTGGCAGGCAGCTAGCTGTTCTGCGGAGAGAGACTGAGCCATATGTGACAAAAGCCGGTGCAATGAAGTAGATTCTCTCACCTTTTTCCATTACCTCAACCTTGATATGGGAAGGGTTGCAGGGGATAGAAAGGAAGAGAGAGCTGGACTGCAAGTCCTATGTCATGTAAAACAGCACAACAGGATGATGACTGAATATCATCAACAAAGTCAAATAAAATTAAAAACCTACCCAATACCAGCACCAAGCTCCAATACGGTTTTACCAGTCCAATCTGGCAGGTAAGAGAGAATCTCTGGAACTTCCTCCTTTGTAAGCTCTTCTGCTGCCGTGTCCAGCATCATTTCATTGACAGAGCCCTCTTTTGAGTGTTCCCTCCAGTATTCTGTCATTGCTTTTCTTATTTCTGAACAAAAAGATGATATCAATTCTGTAGTGTTTTTTCAATTTAAACAATTTTTGCATACAACACAATAAGGAAATTCTTTAGAATGTTTCTTGTTCTCATTCCTTTTATTCCTACAGTGGAGCATAGGCCCTCAAACAACTCATGCCAAGTCTTTCTTTTATCTTTTGCTGTCATGCGCAACTGACCCCACCTGTTTCCCTTTACTTGCATTCTGTGTGTGTGTGAGAGTATATGTGTGTGCGCACATGCAGGCATGCATGTATGTGTTTCGTTCAGTTTGTCTTTACTCCCTATTCATTTTGAATGATCATAGGAAAAACTACACTTTTCAGGTGTATGGAACAAACTAAATGTTAAGTCTTTTCGCTACCTTAAATTACCACATTTTAGAATGTTGCAATGTGAATACTGGTAGACTTGAGACTAAAGATTTAGGGCTGCATGGCATGTGCAGTCACTATAGGTTGTGCAAATGGGCATTTTATTTTGGCCTCCGAAAAAAAAATTATCTGTCCTCTTACCAAAGATTTGAACCTGGTTTTCGTGCATCATGGCTCAGAATTCTTAACCACTCAGCCAGTTGCTCCTCATTAAATATTACTAACATAAGAAAAGAATCCTTTTCTATTTTCGCCTTCTTCTTCTTCTTCCTGTTCACCGGCTGTAAACTTCTGAGGAAAGTTCTGGGTGTTTGTTCAGCCTGGATACAATTTTGTTCCAGAACCTGAATATAGACCAATTTTTATAGAATTTAATTCTATGGCAAAACAAGGAAGGGGGGGGGGGGGGGGGGGGGGGGGGGGGGGGGGATGGGACGGGGACGGGGACAAGTTGGTCCTGTCATGAGAAGAAACATGCACTAAATGGGAAACTAAATTATTGCAGAAACAAGGACGTCCAGAGAAAACGTAAAGTGAAAGCTGAGGAGAGAAGCCAAAGGTAATGGACTGGATTCCATCCATGATATGGAGTGATTGCACAGGATAGAACGGAACTAAGGATAGAACAGAACTGAGGATAGAACAGAACTGAGGATAGAATGGAACTGAGGATAGAACGGAACTGATGATAGAACGGAACTAAGGATAGAACAGAACTGAGGATATAACGGAACTGAGGATAGAACGGAACTGAGGATAGAACGGAACTGAGGATAGAATGGAACTGAGGATAGAACTGAACTGAGGATAGAATGGTCTGGAACTGAGGATAGAACAGAACTGAGGATAGAACAGAACTGAGGATAGAATGGAACTGAGGATAGAACGGAACTGAGGATAGAACGGAACTAAGGATAGAACGGAACTGAGGACAGAACGGAACTGAGGATAGAACGGAACTGAGGATTAAACTAGGAGATTTGACACATACTGACACAATAGAACAATGAATAAATGAGTGAATGTCATAAGTCATGAGAAGAAAAGCGTTGCAAGGCAAAAGTGTATAGAAATATCAACGGTAAAAGAGTCGATAAAGCCATGTTGAAATTATACTGGATTATCTCATATTAAAGAGAAATAAACATATGGTTAAAGCAATACTTCCCACTTGCAAATTCGAGCAAAAAAGACAGTCACAGGCTTATGAAAAAAAAAATTGTTTTTGTTTTGTTTTGGGCCATTCACATTTCGCAGTACAGTATTTGCATTTCTTCTTCTTTTGTCAAAATCTGCTTGTGCCGCTAGGCGTCGCAGTCTATCAGATGATCGGCAACTGAGCCAGGGCGCGCTCAGTCGCTTCATATGCCGTGATGTTATGAAGTCTCAAGTTGTCCGTGACTCCTTCAATCCATCTTCTTCTTGGTCTTCCCCTGCCTCTTGGTGTTTCGATTTTCATGTTGTATGCTCTTGATGCTGGCATTGTTGGTTCCATTCTCATTAGGTGACCAAACCATTTCATTCTTTGCTTCTCAATAAATTTAACGATGGGTATGGTTCCAATAGTTCTTGTAATCACATCGTTTCTCACTTTATCTCTTCTGGTTTTATTCGCAGCCATTCTCAAACATCTCATTTCACCGGTGGTTAGTAGTATTTGCATTTACTCTGATTAAACAGGCAGTTAGCTTTGAGTGTAGCTGATTCTGGATTTCAGTTACAAGGATTCCTTCATTTGCTTCAATTAGTTATAATCGAATGTTCTGCAGTTTGATGCATGTATGTATATTAATATATAGTATATAGCTGTAAGTTAGTCAGCTGTATGCTCCCGCGGAGCTACAGCGAGGATGCCAGGCGATAATATGTGTAATATATTGTTTCCCTGCAGTAAACTTATTGTGCAATCTATTGCCGGGTTTTTCTTTGTTTAAATATATCAACAGTGACTTTAAAACTGACCAAAACATCAAGGTACCGGAATCTATGGAGAGACATAAATACATACGTGTTCATACACTTGGGTTAAAGGCGCTATGCAGGTCAAAGGTTATAGTTCACACTAAGGCCAATGAACATAAAGGCAGAAGTGCGTTTGGTCACTAGGTCAGATAACATTTGAAATGGATAGTGTTTCCTTGGCTCTTTCACTTCAAGCCAGCCTACTTTGTGTTTGATTGATCTGTACGCACGTATACAAATAAAGGTATTGCATTTTTTAATTCACCCAAAACAAAGGAAACTCCACAGTTTCCGGAAAAGTCTAATGTTCTATAGGTATTATTGTTTTGGGCCTAGGGTTAGTATTCGGGTTAGTTAGACAACTGAAAAAGATCCTAACCCTACTCACAAACCCTTAACATCCATAAATATTGGACTTTCCCGAATTCCTTTGTTTGGGTGAATTAAAAACACAGTACCCAAATTAACTGGGTTGGGGGGGGGGGGCTTCAAGACCCTTTGGTCCTGAGGCCTCGACCCTCCATCCCCAAAAAATTGTCAGTCTCTCTCTCTCTCTCTCTCTCTCTCTCTCTCTCTCTCTCTCTCTCTCTCTCTCTCTCTCTCTCTCTCTCTCTCTCTCCCCAATCATGCTTTATAGAAGTTCGATTAAGAAGTGGTTATTTATTTTTTTGAAGTTATTTCAGATATATTACTAAATGTCGTTTGCCAATTCAGCACATCAATAATTGTACATTCAAAGATAAAACCCCATGAAACTCACTATAAATATTTGTAAAAAAAAAAAAGCCTTCAACCCCCTCCCCCCCCCCCCCCCCCCCCCCCCCATTAAAAAAAAAACCATGTTTTCCTCGTGTAGGGCCCTTGTATACTTGGTACACATATCCGAACTACCTTTGTCCAGCTGTATTGTTTCTGGATCCGAATGCCCGGCTTAGCCCGAGATAGAGAAAGAAAGTCTTATTGTCTCCGTCATCTACCTCATCTTGATCTCCGCCGCTGTCCTGTATGTAGGCCTAGTGGTATCAGCGCCATGCTAAAAAGCTGAATCAGTTTCATATAACTTGTCTCAGAAAGCTGCTGACAATCAAATGGAAAGATAAGATCCCAAATACTGTGGTTCTTGATAGGGCAAACCTGCCTGGCATCCACACGATACTAAAGAGTTGTCAGCAGCATTGGGCTGGTCACCTAGATCGCATGTCAGGCCATCGCCTCCCAAAGAAAGTATTTTGTGAGGAGCTCCAGCAAGGACAGAAGTCCTAGGGAGGACAGAAAAAGCGCTATAAAGACACTCAAAACTGCTCTCAATTCTTTTGGCATCAACACTTCGACGTGGGAGGCTGCGGCACAAGACCGTTCTGGATGGCACACATCCCTCAGGCATGGTGCATCGGCCTGCCAGACAGCAGAGGTTGCACAGACAGAGAAACGGAAGCAGACTAATAAAAATATTTTTTTTTTAACTCCAGAGGGGAGCATGCACAGTTACCGGTCTTCATTAGAAAATCCTTCATGGTTAATTGTTTCGGCCCGTTACTTCCTAAACAATTTCAAAAGATGGGCCGACCTGGTTCATGAAGTCAGGCATCAGTTCTTCCCTGCTGCGCTCGATGGAATAACGTACTTTTCGGACGAGACGACGGTGGTGTAATCAATAGGTAACTGGTGAGACGATTTGGTTCATTGTAGGACTATGTCGGGTCGCAGGCCGGTCTTTCGGATTAACTCTTCTAGGTACCTCTCGTGACCAGGTAAGTTGACTGCGAGTAGCCAGTCCCTCGCACACTCAAGCACTTTGTAGACCTGCCCAGCCTTGAGGAAGTGCATAGGGGTGACCGTATAACTGGCCCTTGTATTGGCCCTTATTCTTGCCTGGTCCACAATCTCCGCTAGCTCTTTCATGACCTTATTGTGGAGACAAGTAAATATTTCCTGGCCGAGGGCTTTCTTGCACGATGACAAAACGTGTTCGAGCGTCTGCTTAGCTCAGCATAGTGGGTCGGTCGTCGCACGCCATTTCAGCATAATTGCGCCAGAGTGTAAAATAAAACATCATACGCAGGTCTAATTACGAAGCTCAACTCCAAATCTTTTCCCATGTGAGATTTCGTGGCAAGGCACTCTCAATGCAGATCCATTGGCCTTGTTGCAATTGGTGGGTGGCTTTTTGAACCCAAGTCTCGTTTTTGGTATTCCTGATCTGTTCTATTACCATATTTCTGCGACGGTGACACAGAGGGATACCATCGGTGGAACTGATAGGGAGGACAAGGAAACGAGCAGTGTTGCCACTATGCATGTTTTACATCCAGATTTAAATGATTTTTATTGCATTTAGATGGCGTTTTTGACGTTTAGATGGTAGATGTTTTTATAGATTTTTTTCATTTGGAGTGAATTTATCAATATTTAACCTAAGAAAGGATGAAATTTGACCTCTTAAATGCTATCCTTGACAATAAAATTTTGCCTAATAAGAGTAGGAAAAGGCTGTTCCACTTATCAGCTCCCTGATTGGGTATTAAAAGAAACTGGAACAGCTAAAGCATAACAGAGTCATTTTGGATCTGAAGCTTCAACTTCATCACCCAAGCTAAGTTTATCCTGTGGATCTTGTAAGGCAGACTTCAGTAAAGATGAGGA